TTGAGTCTGACTTCACCAGTGAAGTCATGTTTGCACTTAAAAAAACATTCAGTGTCAAATTAAAAGACCAAATCACTGTCGTGTCAGACTCAGACTTTCGTCTCCTGCCTGATGTCAATGAAACACTGCGCAGAAATGTCAGTCTCTGACTTCAGAATAATAGCTTGAAATTCTTCAAGGTGATCGCCTGAAATTGCCTGAACTGAGAAGGTGTTATTGGCAACCCTGACAGGGAAAGTGGCCTTGAAACCCTGTTTGTGGGCTCTTCATTAGTGAGACTTTATTTCCATTCTTCCATCCATCCATCCCTGCACAGTCAGCCTGCGTTACTGTTGACCCAGCCAGGAGGAGTGCCGGTGAGCAGCCGGAGAAAAATACAGTCAGAATAATGGATACGGCCCACAGCAGGACATGCAGCTGCATCGCGGCGTGATTGTAATGCAGGATACTGCTCAGCGAAACCTTGGGATGACGATTAGCTTGGAAGCAAATCACAGCTTGTCTGCCCTACGGGAGGTGTCTAATGCGGGAAATGATTCAAACGTGTGTCAGGCAGTAGGATCCCACGCTGTGAGGAGAGGGCTCCGGTTATTCTAACCCGCATCAAAATTAATTGGGAACATGCGAAAACATGCTTCAGGAAGGTGACACATGGAGCTTATTTTTTTATCATGCAAAATTCACAGATATCTGATTTGGGTTTGGACACCACCTGTCTGTGTTGCGGTTGTTACGCTGGTTTTTATTGTTGGACAGATGGACCTCCAGCAGGAGTACCTAGTAATGAGACCAGCCCTGCGGCTGTCTGTCAGCATCGTGCCTGTGAAAGCCTCAGTCACAACTATTTGGCTATGCAGCACATAATTCAGAGCTCCAGTACACAGACGTCTGGTCAGTCCAGCCATCCATCAGAGCGTTTTTTGCCAAGTCAACAGATTCTTGTGGTGGTGGGCAGTCGGAGGAAAGGCCTCTCAGGTTCTGTTTCAGCATCAGGAGTGTGTGTTTGTGTGTGTGTGTGTGTGCGCGCATCCCAGGAGAGTTTGACTTTTCACTAGGTGAAAAGTATAGCCCTTTACAGCAGCAGTAAACCATGTCACAGGCCAATGTAGCTATCTATACCCCCAGGACTCCTGATTGTTCAAAAATGTGAAAACTCAGCTGTGATACTTCAATTCAGAGAAGATGTCAACTACTTTATTCACAATCTGGCCTGGAAACTCCCCAGCACAGCCTAATCTTTGACTCATCTGACAAAGACTGTCTATTACTCGCCTACCTGTAAGCCCCAGGATTGCTTTTAAACCTCTAACAATTACTTTCATTACAGATTAATTTGCGTGTTGTTTATATGCTCTGATATACATGTTTTTTCCACATTCCAACTTAAGAGCACATGAACACACACTGAAGTCGGAAAAACAACGGTATTTCTTTAGTCGGTCTAACCGACATCCCAAAACCCAAAGATATTCAGTTAATTAACACAGAAAACAAAGACAAGCTGCAAATATTCACATTTGAGAAGCTCACAACAAGTGAACGGCCATCATTTTTGTTTGAAAAATGACTTAAAAAATTTTCTGATTATCAAAATTGACTAACTAACAGGCAGAATTGTACATTGACAATGACTAATGGTTTCGGCTCTAGTCCCAGTAAAAAGTGGCATTACATTAATCATTTAAAGCTCTAACTGGAACTGAAACGTTGTTAGTTGATTATTCTATAAGTCAATTTACATGAAAATTGTGAAGGGATTTTTCTTCTTTAAGGGAATTAATATCACACAGTGTTTTCCTAGGTCATGTTAAAGAGCTAAAGTACGCCAAAGGTGACAGCCTGTGACTCTGCAAAGCAGGAAGTTAAACTCCATCTGCTTGGTTGACTAGATATGGCTGAACTCTGAGGACCAGCTCCTAGGCAACCAAAGGTCAAGATTAGCTTTTTTTGTTTCAGACAAACAGAGAGACTGTCTCCCATTAGTGTTACTTGAGAGACTAACGAATTTAGGTAAGCACAGCTCGTTTTGTTGGGGGGGGGGGGGTCAGCTGAAGAGAGAGACAAGAAATGTGAGCGAGAGAAGTGGGATGACATGCAGCAAAATGCCGCTAGAATCAATCAAATTAAGACTTTAGCCTTGTACATGCTGAGCATGCTCTACTAGGTGAGCTACCCGAGGCCTAATAGTGCCTTGTTTTGAACCAATATCCAAAAGAATCTTCTAGCTGTCCGTTCTTTGTGTGCGTGCACTGAAAATAAACAGCTGTTTGTAAAACATTAAATGACTTGCCCACGGACATTCAGATTACTTTATAGCTGGCCAATACATGATGTTGTTGTGATGTTAGTGATAGAAAAATATGCCGGAGTTCAACTTTGCTACAAGCTGCATTTCTTAGAAATGCTATATGCTAACTGGTAACTGTGTATGCCTTCTATCTAAAAAAAAAAAATAGTAACTAGGCCTAAGGCAAGAAAAACGAGAAATTAATGTTCCAGTAGCTGAGGACTTAACAGAACGCGCGCACACACACACACACACACACACACACACACACACCTTATCTGCCTAGAGACAGAGAGACTGATAAGTCGTAGTCCACATGCACTAAAGGTGAAGTTCGAACTCACGTATGGTGAGTTGTTCTTCTTTGCTTGATGCACCCTTTTCATTTCTAATAAACCGAGGCTTCTGACAATTATGGTTTCTGACAACATGATAAAACAAAATTACAATTAGCTATAGTAGCAGGACAGTTGTGAGTATCACTGTATGGAGCTGGTGTGCTGGCTCTGGGATTGTCTTGTCCTCTCTGCATGTTAGCTTTGCAGCAGCAACTGTAGCTACAGTTTGCTAACCCACAACCTAGCTAACATTAGCTACATTACTTGCTGTGTCGTTGTTCGCTCTTCATGGTGCTGGATTTCTCTAGAATTGCCTACTCCACCTTTAAGGCAACTTACCGGTAACTGTTTTAATTAGTGAATAATCTGCTGATTATTTTCTCAATTGATCCTCAGAAAATAGTGAACATTTGCCATCACAATTTCCTAGAAGCCAATGTGATGTCATGATTTCTTCAACCAACAGTACAATTTAACAGTTTACAATTATTTAAGACAAGGAAAAATAATTCTCATCAAATTGGCTCTGACTACCTTTAAAGCCGCAGTCATGATTCATTTACATTTAATCCAAAGCAATTTACAATTGCTATTTATGCCAGAGGTCGCACGCCTCTGGAGCAACTAGGGGTTAGGTGTCTTGCTCAGGGACACATTGGTGGATGTGTCACAGTGGCGAGTTGAACCCGGGTGTCTCACACCAAGGATTGCATCTTATCCACTGTCCCATCACCACCCCATTTCACACACAGACATGTTTTCACTTCTTTTGGCTAATTAGACCTCTTCTCCTAACTGTGTGGTCCTGTCAAGGCTGAGCTCCCCAACTCTCCTAAATACATACAGTTCAGTGACCTTGTATTTCCCAGCACTGACACATCCAGCTTTATGCTGAGCACAGGTCTGATCATCCAGAACGACACCTGTGTGGGAGGGCAAGGCCTTTAAAATATGCAGTGGGTAGAGTGTGTTCTGCTCTTTTCACAGCAGACATTTTGACTTTTCATAGCAGGAAAATCACAGGTGTCACTAATAACATTAACGACTTCTCTGTTCAATGAAATGTCCCTGTGAGCCATTTGAATTAATCAGGAAGAAAAACATCAGGACCCTGGAACGGCCTCAGCCAGTGTTAATGTTATTATTTGCTCCTGTGCTCTTCCTACTTTAATATGTCAAAATGTCTGTCGTGAAAAAGGCCTGTTGGCTGTCTCTCTTCAGTGCCAGCCTCCCACTGTCATAAAATGATACAAGAGGTGTGGTGTGTGCGCGTGTGTGTGTGTGTGTGTGTGTGTGTGTGTGTGTGTGTGTGTGAACCCCTGAGGTACACTGGCTGCACATTTGCTGCTGTTCCTTAAAAAAAAGAAAGAAAGAAACATCCCCACAGTGGAGGCACCAGAGAGATAATCCTGCAATGTCCCAGATCTTTATTGGGACGGAGCCCCTGTTGGGAGCTCCCAATGAGATTTCAAAGCAGTGCCGGCCACGTTTCAATCAGGGGGAAGCGTTTAGTAAAAGCGGCAAGAGAGGATTTGCAGCATGGAGGCGTCCCCATGCATGAAGAATATTACTAAAAACCTACTACGAACCAAAAAGATGTTTCCCGTTGGTTCTTAGAGCTCCGCAACGTACTGTATATTCATCACTAACCACCACACCTTTCAGTCTGACTTCAGAATCAGCAGCTCCAATCTTATTAGTCCAATATATTTCCAAGTTTCCTGTTGGCTTCTCTTCTCAATTGCAAATGAGTATATTACAAATGTGAGGATGAGCTGCTTTACTCCATTTTTAATCATTGTAAACTGAATATCTTTGGGGTTTGGACTGCTGGTTGTATAAACCCAACAAAGACGTCACTTTGGGATTTAGGAAACTATGCCTGGAGCTCAAAGAATGCTTTCTAACATTGCACAGACCAAACAATGAATCACTCAAAAAAATACATAAAATACTGTTAGATTAATCAATAATTAAGCCCTTAGGTATGCAAACACATACACACACACACACTCTCTCTGTCACAGGGTAACAGGCTGCACCGCCTACTCAATCCCACACTGCATTGCACAGATTAGGATGCAGTTTTCTAAAAATAGTCGGAATTGTTTAACATTTTGGTCTCACAGTCGTGTAAAGTTCACAAGTACAGTTCCTTAAACATGTCATGACTGTGTGCCTTTGTCTTGATGAAGCATGTGCGGTGGATGAAGTGCAGCTCCCTCTGCACACTGCCTCTTATTGACCCGCATGCACAGCAATGGTGATGCACGGATTTATATTGACCCCAGAGGGAGAACCACACACGCCGCCTGCGGTGTTCCTGGAGAGCTGTGACGGGGATAGGTTCGGGCTGCAGCCGTCTTTAAACTTACCGAGCTTTCCCCGGGACTCCTCCAGCTTCTGGATCTGGTTCTCCAGGAAGAACATGGCCACTGCGAACGCCAGCAGCGCCAGCAGCTGCAACTTGGGCGGCATCATGACTCTGAGCAGCCCCATCAAATCATCCGGAGAGGGATTTGGTCAGTCCATGCTCAGAGGAGGAGACACTGAAAACACACACACAGCGACGACGGTGATTACAAAGCGTCTGAGTGTCTGAGCATGGCCTCTCTCCCCAGTGTTCAGATCCAGTGGTTACCTCAAACGCGATGTGTTCATGCTCAGCTCGGTTATTTCATAAACTCAATTCCCAAATAGTGGAGCGTCGTAAAGCCCTAGAGATTTGTCCAGAGAGCGGGTTTGTCTCTCCGGGGTGTAGGAGTGGTGGTACCAGCCGTTGTCGCCTGGTCCCCCATGTAGCGCTGTCCTGTCCCATCCAGTGTGTTCACCACCGCACAACGGACAGTCTGTTACTACCTCCCAAGCCATTGGACGCATCACCAGTCCACCACACGGCCGAGGCTTCCTATTCGTCGACACTCACCCTCTGTTCAAACCGGATTGGACCGTCATCAAAAACTGACCTGAACTCGGACAGCAGGTGTCGCACTTCTTTTTGAACCCCAATAACAGCAGAGGCGAGGAAGAAAATTATGCGCCGATCCTGGAAAATGCCAAAACGTCAAGAAACATAAAATTAAATTAAAATGTTTCGTAACAAGTCACACATGTTTAGAAGCGTTAATTAAACCCGTTTACGATGTTATGTCAGCGTTGAACATTTTTTGATAAAGATAAATGATAAGTTATGAAGGTTAACGGTCAGGCGCGACGGGGGCACCCTTCTTTAAATAAAGGGGGTCCTAAAACGAGTTTACGCTAACAAAGCAAAAGCTCTAAAATGTCGGGAGAGGTGTATCTCCTATGGCTCCTCTCGCTCATACAAACGGTGAGTTTATTAACACTGAAAATGAGCAAAATGTCGCCGCCTTACAGAAGCGCTTTATATTTTGCATAAACGGTTAACGAAGCTCTGAGCTGTGACGTTATGTTCATGTTTGTGAGCCGCAGCTTCAAAATGTGCCCAGAGCCTCAAAATGACGTGGCTTATCCTACAAACCTCTTCCCTGATGGGAAACTGAAGGCTCATCTGTGTTTATTTTCTAGCTAACTGAGTTTGTACTGATTACAAACCGATTGGTATGTCGAAATGTATGTTTGGAAAGGCAAAGACAACTGTTAACCAGCACTTCCGGTGTTGTAAATATACTCATGAGTGATACTTTATATACTGCAAAGATTTCAGAGATGTTGGTTATTCCAGTCCCCAGGAGCCTTAATATTAAATACTTTTTTTCCATTTTGGAACATGAAAGAGCACATGGTTATTTTTTGTAAGAGGATAAATAAGATTAGAATTTTGTGGGATGAATAGTGTAAGAAGAAACAATATTTGAAATTAATACTTTGTAATAAAAAATAAACTGGTACCGGTGCAGCTGCCATCTATGTTCAAGAGTAAGCCAATGCAGTTAATTGTACATTATACAGTGGTCTCTATTGGCACCAGCACCTTTTTATTTATTTTTGTTTTTTACAACAGTTCAACGTTCATTCTGTAGCAGCAAAGAGAATTAACACACCTCATCTTGTTAATTAGCATACCTGTTTAACCACATTTCCGACAAGAAAATAATACTGATATTATGTATTAATACATTTAGCAAAAGCTGCACATTTTTGTATTTGATCTGTTATTTTAGACATCAAGTTAAAAAAGGCCAGACATTTGCAGATTAAAACTTAAGAAATATTACAAATCAAATAATAATTTGTTGTTTTTGTTTGTTGAACACACTAAATACTGTTAAGATGTCGCTAAGGGCTTCAGCAAATTGTGACGGGCATGCCATTAGATTCTAATTTATGTAACTCTTTATTTATAAAAAATAAAGAATATAAAAAAATTGTAAATAATGATTTTGCAGTTTTAGCACTACTGTTTTATTAGGACTGCAACTAACGATTATTTTCATTTTCGGTTTAAGCTGTCGATTATTTTCTCTATTAAATGATGAGTTTGGTCTATAAAATGTCAGAAAATGGTGAAAATTGTCAATCAGTGTTTCCCATAGCCCAAGATGACATCCTCAAATGTCTTGTTTTGTCCACAACCCAACGATGGTTTACTGTCATACAGGATTAAAGAAACCAGGACATATTCACATTTAAGAAGCAGTAATCAAATAATTTTTTTTTAAATGACTTGAACAACAATGATTATCTAGATAGTTAGCAATTAATTTAATAGTTGACAATTAATCATTGTAGTTTTGTGTCCTGTAGGTTGATAAAGAGTTGTATACATTTTTTACATTGACACATTGGTTCTACAATACACTTAACTTTTCATTGTACTTTAAAGTAATTCACAGCACTACATAGAAGTCACGTGACATAGTTGTTATCCATGTTTATTTTATTTTTTTAATAAGACACAATCATCCACAATTTCCTAATATCAGTTTTTTAACATAATGTTTTATTTTACCTTAACACCTATGCATGTGAGAAGTTAAGCACGTTTATAAAAACTTGTCCTTTTATTTTTTTCCTCTCTGTTTTCTCCTCCTTCTTCTCTCCAGCTGTCGGCTTATGGTGCCGACCTGTCGTCTGAGGCCTGCAGGGAGCTGGGCTTCTCCAGCAACCTGCTGTGCAGCTCCTGCGACCTGCTCGGGGAGTTCAGCCTCACAAAGCTCCAGCCCGACTGCCGGCAGTGCTGCCAGCAGGAGGCCCAGATGGAAGCACGCAAGGTAAAGCGAACAGCAGAGCTCACAGAGCTGGCAAACAGGAAGTAATTGCCCGTCTGTATTTAGTCACAGTGAGGAGCTTGTTACGAAGACCTTACTAAAGGAGATTCAGTGAGAATAGAGGAAGCGTATCCAACAACAAGGTTAACAAAAGGGCATGCAGCAAAATTATTAAATAACAGGCAGTTAAGCATGATTGAGACTTGACAAATGATGATGCACAACAGATGGTTTGTTAAATGGCTTGATCTATATTCTGTCTTTAGTCATTTAAAGGTTCTGTGTGTATATTTTAGTAGCATCTAGTGGGGAGGGTTGCGAATTGCAACCAGTGGCTCATGGTACATTCACATGCTCCTCGGATGGTCCCATTTCCCAAGTTGTGAAGCCGTTCTTCCGACTTCAGTGTGTGTTCATGTTAAGTCAGAATGTGAAATCAACATGGACGCTACTACAGAGATGTGTTGGATTAGCATTATCAGAGCGTATAAACAACATGCAGGCAGGCACGCAGTACACTCTACATAAACTGCAAACTAACCGTTATAACCATGTTACAGATTACGTGTTTGCAAAATATGTATATGCAATACGTGATTTTACACAAATCAAAGTTCTGTATAGCCTATTTCTTTGTCCCATATATACGCTTTCTTTTTCTTTTTGCTATAAAGATTTAAGGAGGAAAAAATTTCAAAGTCACATGAATGCACCACTCAGCCCTCCCTTTTTTTTTTTATCATAGGAGAAGCTAGGATGGCCGACACGCTCTGTCTTTGCTAAATAATACATGTGGGCCTCCATTTGTCCAAATTTCTCTTTATTTTCTTATAATAAAACAGTCTACTGCTACTAACATTACTTGTTCGTCTTCTTCGTACGTATTCAAGAGCCGTTTGTCCGTTCGGGCTACTGTAGAAACATGGCAGTGCAACATGGCGATGTCCATGTAAGAGGATCCGCCGTGTATGTAGACAGAAATGGTTAATTCTAAGGTAATAAAAAAATAACACTTCATTATATAAGGTCTTTATACACCACTGAAAACATAGTTTGGATATTGCATTTCTGTAAAAAAATATCCTCCTAAATATTACGAACTGGATCTGTAATCAGCTTCACAGAAGACATGCTCCTCAGTGGATAGTAGCAGCACTCAGCGAACCTCCGTGTCAAAATGTGTCGCATTTACTGACAGGATCACATCCCCCAGCATTTGAACTGCAACTAAAACCAACCTAGTATTGGCCTCCCTGTCACTGAGTCTGTTGACGCTGTTTGCAGCTGTGCATCAGATCTGAGCTGCCACCTGCCACACACAAACTCTGTCAGTAGCTGTCTGTCTCAATCTTCCTCTCTGACGTTCAGAGACGAGGCTCCTTAACCCCGACTTGACACTCCCCAGGGGGTCGAAGTGTCAAGTTTTGCCGAGACAACCTCTCGAACCGGTAAGGAGGCGTTTACTGTGCGCTCATTTGCTCTTGTGATTACAGAATACTCAAAAGGAGTCCCTGCTGAGCTCTGACAGATAAACACTGAGTCAAGGGATGGTGGGGAAAAAAACAATGTAATTTTTCTTTGATTAACCAAAGCCCCCAGAGCATGTGTGGTATCCTAGCAGCAGCACCTTGGAAAGGGATAGCTCACACCTCATTACACCTCATGATGATAACTCTTTTTCATACAGACACTTAGAGGAAAGATTACTCCTCTTCATCCTGACGATTTGAGTGAAAATGTCACTTAGAAGAGCAATTGGCTGTCTCCAGCTGCACTCAGAGGGTACCAGTAGAAACGACGGTGTCACTAAGCACATTTTCTCCTCAGACAGCAACAATTATCTGCCTTAAGAATTCTTGCAGTCTCGCATTTGACATCAGTGCCGCGTCATTAAACCTTCTGAGAAATGGCTTATTGCACGGCCTAGTCGATTAGTAAGATTCACTGAGCATGGAGGGCATTTCGGTTGCTCATTTCCAAATGTGTGCTTCTCTGCAGAGCACCCCGTGCCTAGCAGCGCCTCAGCTCTCCTGGGTGCCACTGTACAGTATGTCTCAGTATGTCTCTAAGCAGGAAAACCTTCCAAAGAATCTCTAAGGCCAGTTGATGACAAAAACACGAGAAGCCTTTATTTCTGGGCTTTTAAGCCTTTTGGGATAAGTTTGGTGATATTCTTTATTTTTCTTATTGTCAATAAATCCCATGAAAAGGCAAAAATCAACACTGAACTGAGCCTGCTTACTTACAAGTATTTGCCTGTGTATGCAAAGCCTGATGTATCTTATTCCTCTCCGCCATAGAGCTCCACTGTTGCCCAGAAACTATTAAAACATATCAGTATGAGCCTGAGTGACATGTTTCTTCATTATGATGAACATAGGCAGTGTTGATTATTTTGATTCAATCCCAACATTCAGATGAAGTAAATACCGATTAGCACAGCTGAAAATAGTCCTATTTGAACAGCCTTTGTTAAAAGATATAGTGCCCTCCTGTTTTAGGAAATTATTAATCTGTCTTAAAAAATGTGAAATATTTATTGACCTGTTTTTAAGATTTCAGTAGGAACCGGTGTTGTGGCTGAGGGCCACACACAGGCTGGGGAAGTCAAAAACTAGAGACCGACCAACACAATATTAGTTTAGCTTTCATGTTGAAAATATATATTATTGCCAGCCTTATCCTTTAATGTCAACTAACACCCACCATGTTGTTTTGTGAGTGGGAGGGCTTACAGAATAATAATTTTATGAAGAAGTTTTGAATGATTCAGAATGATGGCCATTTAAGGGACAGAAATAACCTTAAACCTAAATCTTTTTTTAGACATCCTTTGGCATTTATTAAAATCTTCATTAAGTACTTCATTAGGACAAAGTGTGTTGATCATGTTTCATCAGGACCTTTTTTTCTTGTTAACCTTTAGAGTCTTTTTGATTTAATTCTTTTATTGACAGTACTACATCATTTATAAAGAACTTTGAGTACTTAAAAGTAAGATAAAAAGAATACACGGATGGAGTCATTGAAACAATACTTTTCATGCTTGTTCAGGTGATTAGCTAATTAATGTTAAAATACTCCAATGAGTCATCTATAATTTGTTTCCTGTTTTCAACGGAGTCGTGACTACTCTCTAATTCGTGTGGTAAAATAAAAAGCTTGAACATTTTCCAGCACTGCTGTGTTGTTTGCAGAAGGACCGAGGAAGAGGAGAGAGTCTTGGCTTTGCATGCCTAATTTAATTTGCTGTGTGAACCAGCTGAACCGGCCATTTACCACTCTCCTCCCTGAAACGGCAAGCAGAGCATGGTCTTGATAATACTGCTGTGACACTGCAATTTCCTCTTAACTTATTGTATATTGGTGCTGGAGCTTTGATTACACGTGAGCGCTGCACAAACCATCATCCATCAGCCGGGCTCCATATGCACGGGCTTAGTTTAATGACCCCCAAGGAGTCGCCTGGACACATTTATGAATCAGTCTGCCTAAAACAAATTACTCCTCCAGGCCAGGCGTCCTGCCACCAGCAGGGTTGCAGCCCATTCTGTCTCTGTGTGTGAGCATTGATGTGTGTGTGGCGGCGGGGGGGGGGGGGGGGGGGGGGGCGTCTCATGCACTACCTTACATTGTATTTCTTATTTTCAGCTCTATGCTGGGGCCATCCTTGAAGTGTGTGGATGAAAACTGGGGAGGTTCCCTCAAGTCCAAGGTGAGTTCTCTATTGGGACATGATTCTGATATCTTGTTTTGAAATCGAGTAGCATCTCTTCCCTGAAACTGAGCTTTTGCTATGTGTGATTCTGTGTCTTAATCAATGGGTGTGTGTGAAATGGATCCTTTCAATATCACTTTTTCCAGTAGGTGGCTTAAAGGGCTGATTAGAAGTGTTCTATCCTCTGTGTCTTGGGAGTAGACCTCCCATCTCTGCTCAGTGTAACATTTGGTTAATTCCTGGTGTCAGGTTACGTTGATACAGTAATTGCAGCGACACTATGTGGGTAGACGAGCTCTGTCTCTGCCATATGGCTGTCGTTTGTTTACCTCAGCTGTAGCCGTCCTGTCTCCGCCGCCGTTAACGCTGTATTCTCAGGAGGTTTTGCAGTTGTCACTAATTACAGACCTTGGTACTAAAATAGAAAGACTAATTGACTGATTCATTACCCGACATTTGTCACACCGGTGTTTTATCTCCTCAGCTTTTGTCAGGAGTGAAAAGCCGAAGATGTTCAAGGGTCTTCAGGTCAAGGTAGGGGTGACTAATAGTTTTGTTGAAAAATGTGATTTCAAAATCAGATCCTTCTCAAACATTTCTCTGAATATTTTTCATTTGTACTGAGGGAGAACCTGCTTTCCTAACACCCCCTCTCCCTCTTTTCTCTCCTATGCTGCAGTACGTGAGAGGCTCAGATCCTGTACTAAAGCTTTTGGACGATAACGGGAACATCGCTGAAGAACTCAGCATCCTCAAGTGGAACACAGACAGCGTGGAGGAGTTCCTGAGTGAGAAATTAGACCGGATATAGACAAGAGAATCCAACTTTTTTTTTTTTTTTTTGGGTTACAGGGTCTGTTCACCTAAATTATTAGTATCCATGCAGATTCTCTGTTTAATGTGCCAAGGTTAAGAGATATTTGTCTCTGAAATTTCTTAGTCCATCTTCAGGTAAATGGAGCTTTATTTTTGGCGCACTCAAACCACCTTTACAATGTTCAACAGCTCAGCTTTATTTTTGTAGCTGTAAATTGAAATTTTCAGTGTTTTTAGCAAAAATACACTGCGAAAGAAATCTCTTGAGACTTGTCTTGTAAAACTTTGTCAAATTAAACCAAAACTATCTGCATAGCTAGAGACTACAAGGGACAAGTGAGAATGTTTTTTTGTTTGTTTTTGTAGTTCGGGTGAACTGGCCCTTTTTAGTTATTTACCAATTTGTACACAACTCAGCCCCCCTCTGTCTGCCTGAAATTCTTGTATTTTTTTTTTTATAGCGCTCAATATCATGACTGGATTTGTTGTAAGAATAAATCCCAGTTGCTCTTCAAATGCAGGTGTCTTTGTTGAAGCATACGTTAGTGAAGACCTTGCAGTAAACCAGTGTTGGGATGTGAGGTCTGATGTGTATTTGTGTTTATCAGCATCTTCTGCTTCGAAGAGCAACTGGATTTATTTTGGATGCTTGTTTTTGAGCAAGTGACTGTTAAAATATGCAACAATAAACAAAGTCTCTGATGGATTTTCTCTCAATAGCACTTTTTTTTAACAAAGGCTGTTCAAAAAGGACTATTTTTTTAACATTAGCATTATTTTATAGTGGAAAATATAAGCGTATGATGACACAATCATCTTTTTTAGTCTAGTACAGGAAACTGCTTTCCTCTATAGGTGCTTCTGCCTCAGACTGATTTAGAACCAAAGAGATGGATTTGATGACATCTAGTGGTCTGAAACAGCATTTCAAGTCAGTGCTGTCACAGGTGGGAATCATGCCTGCAGGTAGACAAAATAAGTTACAAAACATTACATTCATTCATTCAGCTGACACTTTTTATCCCAAGCAACTTACAATTGCTATAAATGTAAGAGATCACAGCCTCTGGAGCAACTAGGTGTTAAGTGTCTTGCTCATGGACTCATTAGTAGATGTGTCATTGTGGGAACTGAACCCAGGTCACTAAACACTTCACATGTGGTTTGAAATTTTAATTTAGCCCCAAATTGCAAGTTTTATCGCCAGAACTAGCCCTATAATATTTCTTTAGAACGTATATATTATGCCAATATCTATATTTGTGAGTAAAAAGCTTTTTTGACCATTCAGAATGTTTTCCCTAAATATTTCTTTATGTCCAGCCCTTTTAATATTTCCACACCGTATTCAATACCTAATTACGTTTACCTCTGGACAGTAAATTTGGCACTGTATTTCCTCATTATTCTCTGAATGGGAAGAGGAACCATAAAACGATCTGATTGCCTTTTTCCACCACAGGGCGATGTAGCATGAAGGTGCTGGATAGATTACAAACATCATGTGTATATTGTATCGCCTTAAGAGACACAGTTTTTCATACAGCTGTCTGTCTGGACAATCAAGAAGGAGGAGTGTAACTTCTGGTTTTACTTTTTATGCACTTCTTTCCAAGGAAAAGTGCTGTTGGCAGTTGTAATAACCGCAGATCCTTACTGCAAGTTGGATACAGTAGCTATACTCAAACCAAGGGCATTGATAAATTATTACATCTTCCTTGAAATGCCTTTACTCATACAATAATAATGATAATAATAAACACATTCCACAAATCAACATTTTATTCACATAAAAATAAAGTGAATTACCAAAACTCAAGTAAAAAAAAAACTTACAGCATCTGAGCATTTATAAATATCTAGTAACCACTGAGATGTGAATATGAAACTAAATATCGTGCTGTCTCATTACACCTGTTGGACTGGTGTTAGGATGTAAGATATTATTGACTTCTATTATAAGATAATAAAGACGTAGTATTGTAATGCGTATATGAGGCAACTGGGAGAAAAAAAAGCATGCTGCATGTGAAAAGCTATAAGCACACGCCTTAGCAAACACAAATCATATCAGCGCTTCAGTTGGGATTGAAGTTACACATAATTCTGGTCCTTCTTGGCGCCCTCTGAATGGTGATCACTCAGATCGGTTTTGGTGCGGGTCTGAGGTTTGTAAACAACCCCCGGGTAACTGAAAAGAAAAAGTCACAGCAGACAAAAAGTTGTATTTTATATTGTAGGCATTTTCTCATCATTTGCTGTCACTAGAAATCTGTTAGGGGACTCACCTTGGTTTTTCATCTTTCACCAATTCCTTGAAAGCCAGTGATTTCAGGATGCCGCCAATAATCAGGACGCCCCCTCCGATCCAGCCTACAAACAGAGCAGGGCCAAATGTGTATCTGTGAAGACAAACAATGCAATTCAGCCAAACAAAACCTAATGCAGGTCCAGCATGCGGGTAATGTAGGAGAATATAAAAATGCAAACAAAATAATAAACGTTATATCCTACGTGGGCATTCCCCCCATTCCTCCTCCCATTCCTCCCATTCCTCCTCCCATTCCTCCCATTCCTCCTCCCATTCCTCCCAGCATGTTTCCTCCATAATTGGTGGACATCCTGAAACTGGCCACAATCTGACTGGCGTAGATAGAAGCTCCTGCAATGCCACACACACCTGAGAGAAGGGTATAAAGAGAGACATAGACAGGTACTCTGTGATTTGCTTACTTCATAGAGACACTGTTAATATATGCAACGCTGTGAGAACAAAAAGAATCAGCTATGTCAACATTTATGGAGAAAAGTTTCACATTGGTGATATCTGTGCTGGGTCTCTCACAAAGGAACTTCCTGTTAGGTATACTCATATTTTGGTTATTTCTAACCATACCTGCGGTGATGAACATGATGCCAGCAGTGAGGCTCATCTTGGCCTTGGTGGTGTCTTCCATGCTGATCATAGAGATGCAGGTCAGGGAGAAAACTGATATCACCGCCCCCAGGACACTCAGCACCACGCCCACTATCATCAGGGCTCGCACAGCCTGGAAGCTACCTATTGGACAGAAAGCATGTCAACAGAGACATATTATACTGAGTCTGTTTTTTGCTAAAATGACTGATTAGTTCATTGTGTCTTACTCTATCAAAAGGCTCCAATCAGCCTAGATTGCATAAAAACCTACATCACAAGTGACATAAATCACGTGTCTGACAATAAGACTTTTATTTTGCCTTTTGACCTCATATTGCAAGACTTCAATCCTCTTCATCTTCCAAAGATGATGTTAACAGACGTTTTTAATCTTATTATGCGACCTGTATACTCCTACAGTAGGTGTGCAGTAGGAACCTGCCCTTTGCTTGTTGTTTGTTCTGTTTCTGATAACTGTGTTGACTAAGTGTTGGCCTGGCTGTCCATTATAGTGACCAGAATGCACTGGTGCTATGTGCAAATACTGATAGGAATGGGCTCGATGCAGGAACAGAAGTTTGCATGAGGACGGCAGGAACTAAGAGCAAAAATAATAATCATTTACACAAAAAGTTATTCCAAGGAGAAGATTTTTCATTTCCCTTACTTCCCTTATATATAAATAATCTTGATTTATTCCGTCAACGAGAAAAAGTTCAGTAGTTTAATTTTACCTTCACAATTTTCCCTTAAATTGTAAAAGAATATAAGTTTCTGGGTATAAAAGCATCTTAAAGCTCCAGTTATGCTGTGGAACGAATAAATATGTCATATTATCCCCATTTTTAGAATTAATATCGTTCTAGCAGGTCTCAAGAGGTAAAACTAATAAGCACATGCCTCTCATTTAATTATCCTTTAATTTCACATTTGTGGCGTGAAAGAGACGCAGAGAGAGAAGAGCTGACCTATGTGTCGCATGTCATCATGGATCCCATGCAACCAAATGAGACTCATCTCAGCACCATAAAAACCTCCTGCCTTGTCTTTTGAGAAGAACGCTTGGATCTCGACAAGAACTTTCTCGTAACCCACTTTAGTTAGAACTTCCTTAAACTTTGCTACTCGCTTCATCATTGGTCCTGTGATCAGAGAAAGCTCAGCAAACATCTAACAATATCTCTTTAAAAAGTAGACATGGGAGAGTCCAGGCTCTTTTAATTTCCTCAAAACTCATGAGGCTGCGACCGTGACAGTGAAGGTGACTAATTCTGGACACGAGGACAGCAATAAACTAAACGTTATTTAGGTTATTTAGATGCCAGTCACTGGAGAAGCTCTGCACATTAAAATATAAGAGAGTCTTGTCCTACCCGAGAAGCCCAGGATGCCATAGAGCGGGCGGCACTCGGTGAATCCTGAGGAAGCGGTCTCACAGTCCTGCCACAGACCCTTGTAGGTGTAAACAGAGGTCACCACGTCCCCCTGCCTGTCCTTGACACTCCAGTTGTTCATGGCAGTAGCTGCAATGAGGGCTGCTGCACCGAGCAAGCCCAAGATGAATCCACCATTCTGCAGAACTGAAGGCGCCATTATTGTTTCCTCCTTCAGAAGTTAGAAAATATACCTGGGAGGCACAGCGTGTATATGTGCAGGATGGTTTGTGCCCAGTTTAAACAGATAAAGAACCTAAAACTTAAAGTACAGCTGCATATGTAAATGAAGTAAAGGTGCCAAAGCTGAACAGGTGTGTGGTGTGCGGGCAGAGAATGAAAATGGGCACTTTGTAGTGATGGTGGCGTTGGGTGGAGGCGGTTGGGTTTCACCCAGTGGGTGATACAGGGTTGGGCTAGCTTGTGTTCAGAGGTGTGGACACAGTGGTGATAGGAGCACCTGGCACCTAAACGAGGACTAACTGTTTAAATGTAAATACAAGGAACTGAATCACTGACTCCACAGGGCTTTCGGTAAATTGCCAACAGTTGGTCAGTGAGTAAATTAAGCAGTCGTTTGCTATGCCAACACACTCATGCAGCACTGCAGAAAGACAAACATACAAATACACAAAGATGAGGCAGAAATGAGTGTGTCACTGCGCAATGGACCAACAGAAAGTAAGTAAGACAAACACAGAAAAAAATAACACACTTGATGAGGATTTCTCAATTATGACATGGTCTTGCACAGAACGTAAAAGTTCATATTAGGCGTGAAGGTGTTACCTTTAAAAGCCAAACCAGTCATGTTTACCAGTCATGTTTACCAGTCATGTTTACTGGTTCCCCTTTTTGACATCCACACGGAGGCCAGAGGTCAAGCTCAGCTGAGCTGCATCTGGACCTTTGCGTTGATTAAGATTTGGTGTTTTGCTCAAAGACATAAAAGCAAGATGAAATCTCAGCAGCAGGGGGACTTAAAACCTTCATCCTGATAACTTTCTCTTTTCTTGAGCTGTCCATCAGGGTGTCAAGAGAAATCCCTCTGACAGGAGCGTCCAGGTAGCAAAAGGTCATGCCCAAGTCTAGCCGAGGACATTTCTTTCATTTCTACTGTCAAAAGACCAATGTACCCCTAAAATACCCAGTCCACTATCCAAATATACTGTAGCCCTGTTTTAAGTTTGATAGACACAGAGACTGAAACTCAGTGGTTTCAGTGAGAGGACTCATTCCCGCTTACTAACTTTGAAACAAACAGTATCTCATACGATTTTCATGATTCAGTTTTTGACCTTATCACTTTGTCAACAACTGGGGAGGGTAGAAGTTTCTATTCTTCTCTTCTCTTAAACCTGTCTCGCTCCCTCTCCCAAACACGCACATGGACAACACACAACAGGACTCATACAGTAGTCGCCCAACATGATGGGACTAGAAAATGTCATTTTGTTATGTTTGTCAGTTCAGTGGACTTCTGTGTTTTGCATTACATTAAAATCTGTTTGTCTTTGGTGTATGTCTTTGTTGAGCACCTTATCAGGAGGTTAAAAGTCAGCTTGTTTAAATAAGATGGTAGTCAGGAACATGAATACATACTGCTTTGATAGCAAACTTCCCCCAGTTATTATGACAACTGATGTCTGACATGAGGTAGCTTCTAACAAAAAACATTTAGAAATAGGCTAGCACATCGATTATCAGCAGATATTTATTTTTAAAATTAATTAAAATTTGTCGGGATATGGATAATGAAAAATATAAACTATAATATGAATAAAATGATTCAGCTTCACACCAACATTGTTCACTAAATTGCAACTGACCCACAAACTGATGTAGCTGCTTATATAAAATGTTGAACCATTCTTTATTCAATTATTTTGAAAACAACTGACAGAACAACAACAAAAAAATTATAAGACATTGCTTTATAAAAAATTTTATTATTTCCAATTCAAAATAAGAAACAGGCCTACATACTGAGATAGATATACTGACGGACAAATAGGTGTTACTGTCCAAATGTAAGAATCAATTGTGAAAATTTAGACTTAATGCGTTTTTTGGGCCTGGGTGAACAAACAAGTCAAAAACAGCTCTTGCAGGCTTCTCCACAAGATCCACTAGAGCTTTTGATTATCTGACTGAAGTTGATGACGTTATGCGTGGGCTTCTTGTATTTTTATTTTGATCTGCTTAAAATTTATGTTTTTGTCAAAAGAGTAACAAAAGTGCATCCTCAGAATGTGCCCCAAATTTTTACTCTACATTTACATGGAATAACGAGTAATACCTGTAGTGTGTCATTGGAGCTCAGTAGGTAAACAGCTACTTATGCGCATTTTAAATGTATTTAATAACTATGGAAATACTAGCCTGTAATATTCAGAATTACTGTGATAGTCGTCGAATGAAAACATGTTTTGTAGCCCAGTTATTTTTCTTTACTACATGGGGAGGTCCTGTGCGCAAACTTTTCCCGTTATGTCTTCAAGTGTATCCAGTCCGTCACACGCTGGAGCTGGGTGAAGTGTACGCGTCCATGCCGTTCTTGGTCATCCCTCCAGGGAAGAGAATATAGGCAACCTGAGGCTGTAAACTGGCAGCAGACCAGGCGCTACAGTTACACGGCACCACGTATCCCGGGCTGGAGGGCGACGGGTGGGTGTGGGTGTGCTGTCCGGGGCAAGCCAGACCCCCGATCCCTCCAGTCTGGTATCCAAACGTGTGCGCGCTGAATGGCAGAGCGCCGGCGGCCAAAGTGTGCGGTATCTCCGCCATCCGCTGGACAGCTCCGGTGCTGAACTGCGCCACCGGCTCCAGCAGCGAGAAGGACGAGGATGAGGAGGGTGCGAGGAGAGCTCTAGCTTTATCCCCGGGGACAAGAAAGGAGTCCATGGAAAATCCCTTCAAGTGTTCCGCTGCCTCCCCGAGTAAAGACGGCAGTGGGAAAACGAAACGGTCCCTCTTTAGGAGACTCTTGGGTTTGCGCCGGGGTCTGTACTTGTAGTCCGGGTGCTCCTTCATATGCTGAGCCCGCAGCCTCTTGGCCTCGTCGATGTACGGGCGTTTCTCGGAGTCAGAGAGCAGCTTCCACTCCGCGCCGAGTCTCTTGCTGATTTCAGAGTTGTGCATCTTTGGGTTTTCCTGGGCCATTTTTCTCCTCTGGCCTCTGGACCACACCATGAACGCATTCATGGGTCTTTTGATGTGATCTAAAGGTTTTGCCATGTCAGAAACTGACACATCAATTAAAAAATACGCCGGTCCTGCTTTAAATTAAGTCACATCTCCGAGAAGCTCATGCTCCTCTCGTACGTAAAAGGAAAGGTGGTGAAGAAGTCTCAAAGATAGAATCAGTTAAGAAATATTTTCTCTGTGTCTTTGGTACGAAAATACTAGAAACCGTAATTCCAAATTGACTGAAGCATTTGCACAAAGTGGAACGGAAGTGTACATAAAGCGCAAAGCCTGGGCGCATGAATGGGAGTCACAGAGGACCAAGTTGGAAGCTTGTTATGGATGATGCTGGGCATGTCAACCACTCATCACCACACCAGTGTCATGGCGGGCCAAGCCAATGGGAATGAGAGAGAACACTGTAATCCCCTCACAAAAAGTGACAGTAAACAACAATTCTCAGGGACTCCCTCCTCTTCTACAGTTTAGTCTCTCTGAATGTCTACAGAGAAAAGTGCAGGCAGGCTGGAAACCAGTGAAGAAAGTCCTCTGCTGCACAACAACAGCAGAAAACTAGAAATGACCAGGTTTTGTACTCAGTAGGGAAGTAAAAGTTATTTTGCACTGCAGTTCCTTGTTGTCATATAATGACTATAGCTTAGAAAGCTGTCTCTACATTTTGTTCTAATGGAGTTGTTGTAATGGAGCAGTTCTTTCAAGAAAAATCCTCTAAAAACAGCAACACTAAAAGGTCTCACAATTAGCACGTGGTTACATAGTTCTTTCTGAGAAATGTGACATGAAAGTCTAAATGTTGTCTCAAAGCCGAGTTAAAATTATGGCCTAGAAATACTGAATCCTGGTCTTAAATGGGTTTAAAATTAGTGGAACAAGGGTAAGAACTGTCTCCTCAAAATTGCTAAAACTGCCAAATTACAGGAGACCCTTTATATGGCCCTGCATTAAACTAAATTACATAAAATAGGCTTTAGGTCAGTAGGTGGAGACTCTACTGCAAACTTGCTTCCATCTTTGTTGCAAAATCACTCCCAATTTTTAAAATGTGTCCTCAAAACTGACCCAATCACTCATTTCAATTCTTTCCCTCGATGCAGTTTCTTATGTACCTATGTAAATAAGAAACTGCATTGTATGGAGGAGCATACTCCACAAAATCAATATTAATCACAGCCATAATTCACTGGCCCTATGTGACTCCATTGATTGACATCAGTTTTCATAATTACTATACTTTATCGGATCAAATTAAGCTTTAGCCATCGTCTGTTATTGAAATGATATTGATGGAGAAATGTATGAGCAATAACTTAAATATAAACTATATGCAGTACACTGTGTGTGTACACTGCTACTCAGAAGAAGATATAGGTGCTTTTAGGCAACAACAGGGGATTACTGAGTATATACTCAGGAAGCTCATTTCACAAGGTAAAAGTACAATACTATTTTTCCGGGTGTCTAAGTGGAAGCTTCCAGGCCGACTCAAAGGCACCCAAAATGGCTTCTGCAAAAAGGATTATTACCATGACAGAAGCATGATGTGTTTCTCCGTAGACAAACCTGTGGCAGTTAGTTGAAGCTCTGGGTTTAGGTTTTGGCAGCTGCGATAAACTTGGATATCAGGGTACTAGCGAGGAGGGGGCCTTTATTTCATTTGCCTCCCACAATCAAAGGCGCTGCAGGCCTCTTCAAAGGTAAAATGAATGGACATAAAAGATCCAGTGGTGCACGCCGCACCAGTGGTGGCGATGATAAGAAGTTTTCAGAGAGGGTTTTTCTCTGGGTTTCCTTGGAGCAGACGGGCTAGAGGGATAAAGTGATTGGCAGCAGGGGTCAAACAGTTGATCTTTCTCCTCATGGCTGTGCCGTTATCTACTGTGCTGTAGGTTCAGGCCTCACGCACAGGAGGCAACCACCACCACACAGAGGCAATGATTACTTCCACAGAGGAACCATGTTTTAGAGACGGTGAGAAGAAAAACAACAACGTGACAGGTGGAGTACCTGAAGGGCAGTACGGAGACATCTGTTTCTGTTACTATAATTTGTCAAGATTTATTTTTATTCTGCTCAAAGCTTTCAGCTGTTTCAGTTGGGGGGAAACATAGAGAGCATGTGTTTTTGTGAACTAGTCAGTGTTTGGTGTTACTTCTAAGAAAGGGCAGCATTTCAACTGGAGAGAT